GTGGTCTATCTTGGTTGAATGGTCTGTGTTAGCATGAGGAGGGTATATATTCTTCTGGACATTAATAGACAAATATCCTATAAATATCAGTTAGATCCAGTTTGGTTGACTGATTGATAATGCTATTCATTTTACCTATATTACTGATTACTGATTTTATGCTGCTGAATCTATTAATCAACTTGTCCACAGCATAAAACTACTAAGAAGTTATATTCCTTTCCTATTACTGTTGTACCAAATTACCACAAGTTTAGTGGTTTATTACAACACTACTTTATTACCTTACCATTCTAGAAGTTAGAAGTCTGAAGTGGGTTTTATTGGGCTGTTCTTCTTCCAGAAGCTCTAGGGGAGAATCTGTTACCTTGCGTTTTCCAGATTCTCAAGTCACCTGCATTCCTTGGCTTAAGGCCCCTTCCTCCATCTTCAAAGCATACCATTCATCCTCTGTATCCATCATCACATCTTTCTTTTTTTTTTCTTTTTGACTCTCCTACATTCCTCTTTTATAAGGAATCTTATGATTACATTGGGCCACCTGGATAATCCAGGATAATCTCCCCAGTTAAAAATCCTTAATTTATTCACATCGGTAAAATCCCTTTTATCATGTAAGGTAATATGTTTATAGGTTCTGGGACTTAGAACGTGGATATCTTGGGGTAAGCCTACCATGGTAGTAGAGTCAGGGATTTGATCTTAACGAACTTGCTCTTGGAACCATGTCTTTGTTCTGCCTTCCACATCTAAATGTCTTTTCTGTGCTGTTTGGTCTATGTTTATTTCTCCCACTAGCATATGTTGTTGTTTTTGTTGTTGTTATGTGCCGTGGAGTCAGACCCGACTCATAGTGACACCTCCTTGGGTTGCCGAGGCAGTATCACTACAGAAGTAGATTGCCCAGTCTTCCTTCCGAGGAGTGGCTGGTGGATTTGAACCACCAGCCTTCTGGATAGCAGTCAAGTGCCTTAGGCACTCTGCTGCCAGAGCTCCTCCACTAGCATATGGCCCTCCTGAAATAGGACTTGTAGCATTTGAACCAGATGAGTTCAGATAAAGAAAATGATATGGAATAATGTTGTTGGGTGCTGTTGAGTGAATTTGGACTCATAGCGACCCTATAGGACAGAGTAGAACTGCCCTATGGGGTTTCCAAGGCTGTAAATCTTTAGGCAGGAAGAGTCTCTTTCTCCTGTAGAGTGGCTGGTGGGTTTGAACCACTGCCTTTTTAGTTAACAGCTGCGAGCTTAACCTTTGTGCTGCCAGGATTCCTTATAAAATGATGAGGCATCATTAGTACAGAAAACAATGCTTTCATTTGATTCCCCAACTCCTTAAGGCTGTGTGTGTATGTGTGTGTGTGCACACATGCATGCATGCACATGCATACGCATGGCTGGCTGTTCATCTGACTGACCTTTGCAGTTAACCAAGTGCCTCCTAATATTTTAAATTATTAATAAAATATTAAGACAAATACATATTTAAATTTAAGTAGCCACCTGTATTAGCACAGCCCTGTATCTCCACCATTCCACCAGACTACTCTTATAGAAAGAACTGTAATGAATGAATTGAACATAATTTGTTGAAATGAAAATTCTTCTAACAACTTATGTTTGTTAATTTTGGGGTTATCTTTCTGTGGGAGAAGAAGTAAGGGGTAAAATATATTTTAGAGAAGTTTTATGTTATCACAAGTAATTTTAGATAGAGTTAACTTGCCATCAAGTATTTGTTTTTACTGAATACTATTCTTCTTCTAAGCAGCTCTGGTGGTGTAGTGGTTAAAGCATTTGGCTGCTAACCAAAAGGTTGGTGGTTCAAAACCAGCAGCTGCTGTGCGGAAGAAAGATGAGGCAGTCTGCTTCCATAAAGATTTACAGCCTTGGAAACCCAGTGGGGGTCGCTATGAGTCAGATCGACTCAGTGGCAGTGAGTGATTCTTCTAGTTACCTGACAGCATGATTAATAGTAAAAAAAAAAAGCCCTTAGTAGTGTAATATACTCCTTTATTTTATACTTTGTGAGAAGTTAACTGTTAACACAGACTACTATAATAAAGAACTATGTGAAACCACATTTGGGTAGTGTTTTCATATGCTAGTAAATTTAACTATGTTTCTAGGCAGTTTATGTGAGCTCCACCCATACTTTAACCTGTTTCCCATTTCAGTGAAGTCCAAGCAGGGGGAAGACAACAACAACAAAAAACCTTCCTGTGTGGCCTGTAGATATCAAGTCTGAAGATTATTAATGCATTTCCAGCTAGGGACCATAAGTAAACAAACTCTCTACGGATAACTACACCCTTCCTGTTTTGGGTTTGGATTTACTGTAGAACACATTTCGGAAATAAGTTTCTGACAGCTGTGAATTTTATTTATAAAATGTTTGAGGGTGAGGTTCTTCCTTTAACATAAAATTAATTATTTCCTGTCTGATGCTCAGCCAATGCATTTTAAGAAGTCTTTTTAAAATAAATTTATCCTGTGATAGAGAATTATGTTGCTTTCTGCAGTTCTAGTTGTTGTTAACTAATGTACAAAGATTAGTCTATTTCAGTGAATAATTCAAAAATGACTTAAAATTAAAAAATAAAGCACAGACTTTAAATATTTTTATTACCTTGTCTCCAGAGTGATAGTAGTTTATGATTTAAATAGATGTATGAGTGCATTTAGACCTGGTTTTATTTTTGATATGCAAATCTACAGCATGTTTTTATTCTCTAAATAGGCTAAACAAAGAGGTACAATTTAGGTAAAGAAGCAGGTTTACATTAAAGAATTCGCAGATTACTTCTCAGTGTAACATTATCCTCAACTAGTACATCTGCTATAAAGAAGTCTGTAAAATTTAGGCCACCCACAAAGTGGTCTGCTGAGGCCTGTGGTTGGTATTAGAAAGCTGTTAATATGTGGGCTGATTGGTTTGGTAAGAAATTTACCCCACCAAGACTGTGAAACATCATGATTCTGATTTTCCTCCATGGGGACTGTATTGGCTTGACTTAGGTATTATGTGTTTGTTAGGCCAGTCATTATATGCTCTATTACATACGAAATATTATGTGAACACTGCCCTGTTTTCTAAGTTGATTTATCAGAGTATTAATACTAATTTTGGGTCATGTAAACTGTAGGATTAATTGGGATAGGTGGTTGACTTAGGCTGTTTAATCACTATTTAGAAAAACGTGCTTGTGCTGCATGTGTGTGTATGTGTGTCATTGTTGAGGTGAGGGAGGCAGCTGGGGTTTTTTATATAATTTAATTTCTGTATCATTTGAATGACTTATCCTTTAAAGTTCTTTGGGGCATGTCAATGGTTTTAAAGGGCAAGGAAAAAAAAATTTAGGATAATTTACCAGCCTAGGATTAAAAGTCAAGATTAAATAAATACTCTTCTTTAAATAGTTGTTTTTAAGGGATCAAAACAAATATTGCAGATATTTAAAAAAAAAAAAAGAAAGAAAGAAAACATAGCACCACCACTAGCAGCATCCATTTGAAAACAATCTATCATAAGGCAAACAGTGTCCTCAGAAGCCTGATTGCCCAACCTTCCTTCTGAGGAGTGGCTGGTGGGTCTGAACCTAGCCTTCTGGTTAGCAGTCAAATGCCTTAGGCACTACCTCACCAGAGTTCCCAGTTTTACAAAACAAACTAAATTATTCTTTAGAGAATAAGCAATGTTGTTTTTTATTATGAAATTAGAAAAAATGAAAATTAACAGCTATTTTAAGTCAGATAGTATTTTTCTTAATTTGCATGGAGACTTAACTGTAATTTTTCTTTTAACACATCTATTACAAAGTAGAAAAAAAAAAGCATTGAAGTCTAAAATGCATTTTGTGACCACAGGCTGAGAGAATGACATCTGCTAGGGCAGAAACTTCGCAATTTTTGAGAAAGAAATACTGAATTACCACTGATAAATATTACACATACATGTTGTTATTGTTTTGTGCCACTGAGTTGGACCCGACTCATAGCAACCACTCCTTGGGTTTCTGAGGCAGTATCACTACGGAAGTAGATTGCCCCATCTTCCTTCCAAGGAGTGGCTGGTGGGTTTGAACCACCAGCCTTCTGGTTAGCAGTCAAGAGCCTTAGCCACTGTGCTACCAGAGCTCCCATACACATACATAGTGAAGTTAAAAAAATACATATACACATGCATGTGTATACATATATACATGTATTATTGATGTGTGTGTAGACATTGTTTTGATCATAACCATGGCTTGGTGGTTTAAAAAAAGAAAGAAACCTTTTGCCGTCAAGTTGATTCCAACTCATACTGACTGACCCTATACAAGACAGTACAATTGCCCCATTGGGTTTCCAAGGCTGTAATATTTATGGAAACAGTCTGCCACATCTTTCCCCTGAGCAGTGGCACATGAATTCAAACCAACCTCTCAGTTGGCATCTGAGCACTTTAATTACTGCACCACCAGGGTTCCTTTGGTGACTTTAACAATGATATTACAAATGTGAAACTTTTCCCTTTTTTGCATTCTCATAGTTGTTTTCTGTACACGAAAAGGAATTTTGAATGTGTCATCCCTCAGGTCATGATTCAAACAGAAAATCTGGAATTGGGGGCTCAGAAATGTGTTTTTTCCAAACAAATAAATGAACAGAGCTGTTGACTGCCTTCCCTTGCCTTTGTTCTTAGCTCTTCTCACCTCCAGTCTAGGGTCCTTTAGTAGATTGCTTGATAATTGACAGATGCCATGCCAGCCTTCTACATTCAAAGTCATGTGGTGTAGTAATGTTTTTCTCCTCACATAAGTTGTCAGCAAAACTCAGAAGACAGATTGAAATGGCCTTTGGCAGCAGTGACCTCTGATGGACAGGAGAAGTTCAGCTATATAATTGTATCTCTATTTTTGGACTTCAGCCAGCATCATAGGTCAACAGAGTCAGCTAAATGTTAGGCTAATTATTTTCACTCTTAGCTAACCAAAATATATTTCACATTTCTAGGTTTACCGACAAGACTGTGAAACGTTCGGGATGGTTGTGAAAATGCTCATTGAAAAAGATCCTTCATTAGAAAAGTCTATACAGTTTGCTTTGAGGCAGAATTTACATGAAATAGGTGAGCGGTGTGTTGAAGAACTCAAGCATTTCATTGCAGAGTATGACACCTCTACTCAAGATTTTGGAGAGCCTTTTTAGATTTTCTGGTCAGGCAAAAAGAATGTTTCTAGATTTTTGTTTTCCTTGGGTTGCGTAAAACCTTAATATATGGAATTTTTGTGATAAAGAGGAATACTTTATGATAGTTGACCACATTTCCAAACTGAAATAAATATCTAAAATAGGTGAAGAGATTTCAATTAGTTTTTTTTAATTTTTCAATCTATAAGTAGAGCCTCCTAATCTGTACTCCCTCCCCTGACCAACCCCCCCTTTCCCTAAAATGATGTGTCAGTTTAATTTTTCAAGCTTTGAAAAAAGCACTCCTGGAAATCAGCTTTCTCTACTTACATTCTGTAGTCTTCCACAATACACAGTAATATGTTTGGTAACAAGAGTGTAATCTACAAGTTGGAAAGCATTCCACTTAAACATTGATATAACTTTTTGTATTTCATAGTGGAATATGTTATGAAAATGTTAGAATTCTTAGTTGTGGTTTATTGACTTGTTGTTTATCGTAGGCTTTGTAACTTTAATATGTTAATGTATACTGTCTAAATAAACTGAAGACTTTGTTAGAGAATATTTGCTTTCAGAATAATTCTCATTCATTGATAAAATTAGAACAATTAAATCTCTGAAAGACACGTCAGGATAAAATCTTTTATTTTCTCCCCAACTAAATTTACCCAATGTTGTCTATTAAAATAATCCTGACTGCTCTCACTGACTTGTGAGTCTTTCACAATATATCATATACAAGACTAACAGAAAGGGGGCAGTTTGAAAGATGAGGCATATTTTGAAGTTTAGATTTTTCAAAAAACTTTTAATTGAGAAAAATTCAGATAATACAGGAGAGTGGAGTTTTATTTTCTCCTTAATTTTGTACTCCTCATCTCAGGAAATAAGATAATTGATAATACATCCATCTTAGATAAAAACCATTTACAGATTATTCATTTGTTAATGTCTGTTTGTAGTCTAGTAGGTTCCTTCTTCTGCTGCCCCTTTTAGAAGTTCTTAGCCCTTCAAAAGTGTTCTTGAAAGGAGTAAAACCCCCCCCCCATCAACAGTCTATGTAAACATGGCTGTAGGAGTGAGCTGTCCAAATTACGGGTTAGTTAAGGATCTGACTGAAATGATTAGGACATTCTGCTTATTTCCTGATCACTTCCCCCCTGTGCAGTGGCACTTAGCCAAGATACATAATTTTGTGGCATCAGTTAGGAAACCTTAAAAATCATGTTTGTTACTACTACCCAATTTCATTATCCTCCCTTCCTTTTTCCATTTCCACTCTTCTCACACTTGAATTCTGGCATTATTTTTAGTGACCTCTGTTGATAGCATCTAAAGAGCTACTCCAGAGTAGAAAAAAATACATAATATATATTAAAAGTGGAAATAGCAATATAAATAATTTTAACAGATCCTATAATGCCTCAACATATGTACTAAGCCATTCTGCAAATTTAGAAACTGAGGGCCATAGTTACTTTTTAAAATTTCCTGAATTAGATTACCTTCAATTTTCATTTTTGCCATTTAGATATTGTATTTATCTGACTTTTATAAAGCATAAGCCAAAATTTTATCCCACATGCCATCTCTCAGATTATTGCCTAATATGAATAGTGATTCTGTTATCCACTTTAGAAAGACTGAGATAAAGTACTGATCTTTTATTTTTCCCTCAATGTTTATCTTTTCCTTAAATATTTGAATTCCAGGATTCAGTTCCCTTAGTCAAGATGTCACAAGTTTAAAAATAAAACTTGAGAAACTACCATAGAGGCAAAGGAATTGTTCACTTTGTTGAAATTCATTAGAGAAATTTTATTAACAGATACATTTAAATATAAGGTCAACAGATAATTTCTTCTTTTCCCCTCTCCCCAGGTTATATTCAACTTGTAAAGCTGTTTACAGCTTGCCATTAGCATTATTTTGGTAGGCCTGTCAGTGTTAAATCTGTTGTTGTTTTTCTTTTTATTATTTTTTTTGGTAGCTTTTTAGTGTCTAATTTTAGGCTAGACATGTTCAGATATGTACCAGAGTGCATATTTTGCAAAATGTTCTTAATTAAAGGAATTTGTTTGTAAATTATCCATTGTTTTTCTGAGTATCCCCAATTGATGTGATACAATTTTCTTTGTCTTACCATAAAGCCTTGATGATCAACAGGGGGAAAGCACATATTGTGAAGCTTTTTTGTGAATTTTAAAAGTGTAAAATAAAACCACAAGATTTAAATAATTAGATTGTCTGTTCCCTTATTTCAACAGGCTTAAAAGTGTTTTGGTAAAACATAGCCTTTAATACTCTACTGCTGGATTACTCTTTAGTATTCAGTTCACCAGGAGCTCTGGTGGCATATTGACTGAAACATTCAGCTGCTAACCAAAAGGTCAGCAGTGCAAACCCACCAGCTGCTCTGTGGGAGAAAGATGAGGCAGTCTGCTTCCGTAAAGATTGACAGCCTTGGACACTCTATGGGGCAGTTCTACTATGTCCTACACTGTCGCTCTGAGTTGGAATTGGCTCGATGTCAGTGGGTATTCAGTTCATCTACTCAGTAGCCAGACAGGAGGAAGATTGAGAAACACTATTGTGGTAGTTAAGGTTGTGTGTCAACTTGGCTGGGCCTGGTCGAGTGGCTGGGCAGCTGAATGTAGTGATTCTCCATGGTGAGATTGGTAATTAACTCCATGGTGGAATCTATTGGAGCAGCTGAGTAGCTGCTTTGGGTATGTAGTCTGCTTCCCATATATAAGTAGCAGCTTTGAGAATGGTCTCTAGCTTATGGCAGGCTTGAACCCTGCATGTAGCCAAGGCGTTGTTCAGCAGCCTGCCATGCTCTGCCAACCTTGAGACTTTCAATGGACTTGAATTAATTGCCTGCCATGTGGTTTGGTAACATTGGGACTGTGCCTTTTTACTTATCAGCCTTGGGCTTGTCAGCCTCTGCAGCCAGCAGCTGTCTGAGTGAAGAAAAGCCTCTAGCACCAGTGGGCTGGGAGGAGGTGGCAGAGCTGAAGCCCAAGGTCGAGGGGCTTTCACCCAGCCCTTATAGCCTGGCACTTTGAACTTGGACTTCTAGCCTCCCAAACTGTAAGAAAATAAACTCCTGTTTGTTCAAGCAATCTTATTTGTAGTATATTCCTGTCAGAGTGGCACTAGGTAACCAGAAAACTATCAGTTGTGACTTAGGGTGTCTTGATCTCCAAGAAAGCAATTAAACAAGATAAGATGGCACCTGACACACAGTTGTGCTCAATAATTGTGTGATTATGAATTTGAATTTCAGAGGATTGCAGAATTAAAATTTTGAATTTTTGTGGTAATAGGAAGTCTGGAGAGCAGAAACTATTGTCTTTGTGCCTCCAATTCCTAGCACAGTTTGGAACATTGGAGGTACTCATATCTGTTAGCTTAAGGTGACTTCACAAGGGAAGTGACATTTAACCCATGTCTTGGAAGAATAGGATTTATTCATACGGAGAAAAGGAAGTATTGGAAATCCAGGAGGAAGGAAAGGTATAGGCTGATGTGACTGAAGCTGGTGGGGGAAGGTGATAGAAGATGAAGGTGGAAAAGGTAAGTTGAGTGCAGAATATGAAGGATTTTGAAGTTTGACCCTTTCTCAAGAACGTAGTGTGAAAACATTACCTGTGTATTATGCTTGCCAAAATGATCATTTCTCACAGTCCCTTAGGCACTTTCCAGCCCTGAGCCAGTTCATAGACCCTGAGCCAGTTCATAGACCCTGAGCCTCATGAAGGAAGAGGAGGCCAGATCCTGTTAAGGGCTCCACCACACTGCCATAAAGAATACTGGTTTCTGCTTTACTTCAGAGTTTCCTTCAAGGGATCATTAAGTGCCATGGCTACATCTTTCGGGATGGTGACCTGATCGTTCTGAAGCATTGATGGTGAATAGCATTCAGTGTTGCAGGCAGCCAGCCACCCAGGTGGCTTCACAGCTGTGACATTGCTCTGGCTGGGGCCTGGAGCTTCTGTGAGTAATAGCCACTCTCTGCTTGCCAGACCAAGGTTTATGGGTTATCCACAGTGCGTTTATCATCTTCCTGCCAGTGCTCTTGAAAGCACTGATGTTATCCAATGGAATGGGAAAGAGAAAAGAACTAGTAACTAAGGTAGTTACAAGAATCTGTTCTCTCATTTTCCCATAGTAATAGAGGTGACATTGCATCACATGGCTGCCTCACTAGGACTACATTTCCTTGCAGTTAAGTGTGATCAAGTTCTCTCCTATAGAACAGTGGAAGTATCTGCCACTTCAGGCCAGAGGCCTTAGGACAGTGGATGTATCTCCTCCTCAAAATAGTAGCAACCAGCCTTATCTGCAGACAGCTAGGTCTTGGGTGACAGCAAAGCCACAGGATAGGGGTCTGGACCCCTAAGTGACCACAAGGAGTACTGAACTGTTAAGTGAGAAAGGAATAAATGTCTTTATTTCTTAAGCCACTTTGTTGCTCGGTTTCTTGTGGTTTACCTTTTGCTCGAACGAATATAAATGGCATTTGAGGGCCAATAACTGAAACTGGCTATCAGCAGGCTGCACCAGTTGTGCAAGTTTTCCAATGTAATCATTGCTTTTGGGATAATGGGCACTGATGGGTACTAATGGCTTTGCCAGTCCACTGAGTTGGAGTTTCAAGTCTTACTTAAAATTCACTGATGACAAATACTATTAAGCCTGGTGTAGATTTGTATGGCAGTAGAGACTAGCTGAGTTTATAGCACATTGTATTTTTGAGCTCTGCTTTCACAGATTAATAAGGAGCTCTGACTAGGAGCTCTGGTGGTGTCATGCTTAAGGCACTTGACTGCTAACCAGAAGGCTGGCAGTTCAAACCCCCCAGCCACTCCTCAGAAGGAAGGTGGGGCAATCTACTTCATAGTGATACCACCTCAGAAACTCAAGGAGGTGTCGCTGTGAATCAGGTCTGACTCCACGGCACATAACAACAGTGCTTCCGTAGGTTTAAGTGCTTGGCTGCTAACCAAAAT